TTGCTGGGTATTGCTAGAATTGAATTTTAGTATTTTCAGAGTATTTTAGAATTTTAATATTTTACTAATAATTCTCGTTAGATTGTCATCAATAATTTGTTCATTCATAGCGTAGAATAATTATAAAATTTTAATTATTTATACCATAATTATATGTTTACAACTTCCTTGTTGTACCGTTAGATGGCATCACTTTTCACAAAAAACAATCATATAGTGTGCACCTTGTTTGTGGCAGATTATCAATGTTTTATATCAATATCGAGAATGAAAATGAAAAAAAAAAATGGAATGAGTATCAAGCAAATCTTTTTATCTAATATTTTCAGAACATTTTAATTTACAATATATCGTTATAAGGAGAAATTTTTTGGTGAAACACTTTCTCGACATTTTTTTCCGATAGCTTCAGTTTCTTTAACTTTCATCTCGTGTTTAAGTATTCTGTAAAAAGTTCTGCAATGACTTGTAAGTACTAGAATGATTTTCTCTTGACAGCTGGTTAACCTGTTGTGTCATCGTTTCAACGAATCGAAGCAAATTCAATTTTTCCCATTGTAAAATGTATAATTTTTTATTGCTCAACTATTTTTTTTTTAACTACTACGAAGTAGCCCACTCTAAATTAATACAAATTATCCCACTTTTGTAAATGTGTTAATAGAAGTAATCTTTTTAATTTCATTTCGATTTTGTCCGTAAGTGAGATTGTACTAGCTGATAGGTATCTAAAGTCAGTCGAACCGACGCTAATTCTCATTCAGTTGCGCAGAAACAAACATTAGAACCCGGCGTACAATGATTAAAATTCTTTTTTCCAAACGAATTTGTTTATTCTTCCATTTAATATTTTGTTATAATGATCGAACAATAAAATACGGTTTTTGTAATTATTTTTACTTACAATTGAAGGATATTATAAAACAGAATAGATTGTTCTATATTTCAGTCTTGGATCGTGTAAAATCCGCCCCTGCTAAAAACTAGGGCAGCTGCGTCTAACTTCAAAACTCGCATCTTACTAGGCGCCAATCCTTTCAGTTGTTCCATGTAACGAGTGGAAACGGTAGTTTCACGATTCGTTTCACAGTTACGTTACGCAAGAAGTGTTCATTTATCCTCCCCATGAAAAAATCGTTCTCCCTTCCTACTATTAATAACATCATTAACGCAAAAGTAAATGATCGTGTGATTAGAGAAAATCTGATCGTTGCTCTGCAGATAACATTTATTTTACAGTTTTTTCGTATTCAGTCGTGTCATCTGTCGTCGCATCTTGAAATCGAATGGCAACTCGTCAGAACACGCAATTCGCTAATCCGCAAAATACGACATAAGTATTACTGCAAATGTTCGTGGGTTTACAGAGTACCTTTCGTGTATACACGGCACTGACGTTCTCTCTTCAATTATCAATGTGCCATTTATTTCCACAATTGAAATCAAAATTTACCGTGTTGAACGGTTGTTCTGAAAATATTAAAAGTCTTCATTGGTCAAATTAAAAATTCTCGTGAACAACGTAATTGTATAACGTGATCGTATTGTCAGAATTACAAACGTTCCATTTTCCTTCGGTTGTTATTTCCATCGAACTTTTATAATTCTGCGGAATCCTTGAACGATAATTCAGAACGTCTAATTCGAAACATCTGAAAAGTAGAAAGATCACTGTTGTTGGTACGTGGAAGCGTAAAGTATTATCGGATAGATCTCGCTTATTCTCGAGATCACGTTGAAGTGCAGCATTCACGGTTGGAATTTTACGAAACCCACGGATGGCAGTTCTCTGATGTATTGCTACCCAATCGATTATATAATTCGTATCTTGCAGGGGAACGTGAAGTGAGTCATCTGTCGAGCAAACTGTCGTTGCGTGACCGTGTGTGTGCGAATCGACATGTTCGGGGAAGTGTGCAATGCGATTTGTGTTTCCTGCTTATTGTCGAGTGCAATGTAAACATTCGAGACTGTCGAAAGTTTCGATCCGGTTCCGTCACGGTGTAAATTATTCCACGGGAAACTGGGTTTACGATGCATCGATGAGATTACACCTTGGTAGTCGTGACGGCAGTCTTACTCGATGTTTCGCGAGGCTATAGCACGTGCTCGTTCACTCTGTTATTAAGTACGTGACGTTGCTCGTAAGTCGATCTCAAATATGTACTTCTTTTCTTTCTTCAATTTGAAATCTGTCTGCGTGTTGTGATTAACGTTCGCCTTGAAATGTAATTGAAAAAGTGAGGCAAAATTTAACCTACTTTAATTTTTAATTCAAAACTGTGTCTTTATAAAATATGAAAAAAAATATTTCTTACGGAGATGTTTGCATTTGAATAAAAAGTGATGCAATAGTTCTGCTTTCTTATCATTATTGCGATGAGTTACTTTAACTTTTGTATGAAAGCTCTAAGTGGGTGTTTTAAATATTTGTTAAAAAAAAAACGAATAAATATCTTATGTAACAAATTTTAATTAATTTTTTATTTCGTTGCACACAAATAACATTATCGCTGTAAAATAAAAAGCAACTTCTATGCATGTGTGTTGTACAAATGCTCATATTCGATGCATATTCGAAGGCGCAAAATACAAAAATACAAAAGCAAAAGGAATTATTAAAAAAAAATCAAGAAAAAGCAATACAAGTAATTACTAACATTGCGATTACAGGATCAACAAGTTATCGTCAAATTATCAGTTTCACGCTATCACCGCTATGGATCATGCTTATAATAGTAGTCGCTTTTCCCTATTCCTCATCTCGAAAGGCATTTTTATGAAGCACCAATCCAGGTAACATTGAAGTACATACATTTTAGAGCTTAAAGTTCATTTAAATTCTATGTAAACATAAGATATTGTTAACGATGTTTTAAAAGCCGAAGAAATTTAATACACATTTGTTAAATAAATTACGGAAAAGATGTTCGCAGAAAGGGGAAGTTTCCGAAGGGCGATTTAAAATCGCACATTAGATTATGAAACCTTGTTCCTAGTGCGCTTGGCCTTTGTCCAACCGTCGAGTATCATCTCAAAGGCTTCTATATCTCATTAATTACATCTCAATGGCATAACCGAGCAACATAGACGTATACCATACCATTATGTCACTCTCAGTCGCCACGGAATACGATCAACTTGTGATTGATACGAAGCTACTGTTCTAAATTAATTGTTCATTAGTTATCATTGGATATTTTAGGAATATTGAGTCATGGAATTTCGTTGTGTCAGTCAACCTGAAAAACGATTAATGCATGGCTTTAAATAGACTTGTCCTGAATTGTTTACTGGCGTGACAGCCATTTTAGAGTTCTATATTACCGATTGGACTTAAACGATTGATAAATCTGTAAGTATAGAAGAATTTTCCGAATCAAGCTAGTCGGAAATTATTTATTTGGTTGACTGTGCAGTTGAAATTTCATTGTTCGAGGAAAATTCATGTATTTTTATTTCTAAGAGGAAAACGAGTAATATACGACGAAATTTTGTAATTAATTCTCAATAAAGTTAAATCACAGACGAGCAAAGTCTCGGTTTATTGTCACGTCAGGACGCAACATCTTGATCGTGAAGTGTATGCATGATACCTGGCCGCACGACCTGCACACGTATTTTCACGGCAGGCAGAAGAGTTCTGGAGCACGGCCAAATTTTGCGATTGTATGACTAATATTCGATGGCGGACTCTTTGGTGTTTTACTGATAGCACGGTCGAGAATCGAAAGGTCAAGTTGACATAAATTACCAGCTGACAAAATGCTTCCTGGAATGCTCAAATAACAAATATGGAACATAAAATTGCCATTAATCATGGCTTGATAACGATGGGGTTAGATTCCTGTTGGAACTGTTCTTTGAAATTTCTACGTCGGTCATGAAGAGCTCTTCAGTTACCACTTAAAATTGCTGGTAACTCTTGACGTCGAATATAGAGTGAGCAGGATCGTATCAGAGTTTCAGGAGTGATTCTATTTAGGATTCGGCCAATTCTAAAAATACAATTCGTTGATACATGGGTTTTGTTTGTTAACCGCTCGATTTAGTTCTTATTGGGCACAATATGCGATCTATATATTTCACGATGAAGCAGTACCTTTGAATCAGATACGGTCTATTTATACATGCACCAAGTGATTCACGGTTAATATTAAATGAAAATAAAAAAAAACGTAGGTAGAACTTTGCGGGTGATAATGCGATTGAAACTCGAATTTAACCTGCAAGGATCTATTTATATAGCGGAATGATCGGTAACGCTACAAGAAAGCGAGTTGACCAACTTTTCGGATGGGAATACAAACACGCGAAGGGAATTGGTGCTTACTATAAAAGGATATAGGTAAACAAGTCCGGAGCACAGCCTTGCCTGGCAGGTTGATTGTAAAACGAAAACTGGAAAAACTCGACAATACTGGCCAAAGTTGGTATGGATAATAAATCACTTTCATTTCAACTCCGTTTGAACGAAAAAGAAAATTATTTTCGGTATTCTTTATACTGTAGGTGAAGTAGTTATATCATTTAAAAATTCTCTTTTATTGCTACAAATTCGAAAATGAAATTTGAAAGTAAATCAAGATTGCTAAGTTATATAAAATCGTATATATATTTTATTAACATATGCTATAAGTTGTTTCTTGAATGGTGATGACATATCACTCAGCAGAGCTTATTATACATTTTCAAGGATCAGTGATAAAGATTATCGAATTTCAACATATATCGACAGAATTATCATTTGAAAGGAGCATAATCCAATTTCTTCTCAGTTGTTGTCAACGTCGCGTGCCGTACAAGCGCGCGAAAAACAAACAATTTCTCGAAAGTGCGAAACGAAAACGAACGTTCTAGCATCCTCTGGCGCGTTCGTTCGGCCGTTCTCGGTCGGCTTCGGCTGCGTTCGGTTCGCCAGTCACGTGGCTTCCGACACGACCCACACAACAAATATATTTAAGTTGCTCTGGGAGCGCGCTGACAGTTTCGTTATTGACTTGGAAGGAGCGCGTGGTGAAACGCGTGCGTCTAAACGATTTTCTCGAGAACAGTTCCTTGAAAAGACACAGAACCTCGTTTCGCGAGTGTGTGACACGTAGTGCGAGGAATAGACGAGTGACACCGAGAGTCTGTCCTCTTACATAACGAAAAGGAAGAAGACAGACAGTACAGAAGAGTGATCGAAGGAAGGAGGATAAAGTCAACTGTCACACTTTGCGCTCTCGGTAATTTTGAAAGATCCTTAAAAAGAAAAAAAGAACAAGAGTGTGTTCTGCCAGTTAAAACGTTTAATTTTTCGTTCGCCTTTCGTTAACACGCCAGCACTGTTGTTTAGTGAGCTTTTTGGCTGATTAAAATAAAAAAATACCATTTAACCTGCAGAGTGAGAGCTTAACAGCAAAGAAGCGCGAACTTAACCTCTTAGTGGGTGCGACAAAACCAGCCTATTTAAAAGTTTCGTCCCCGAGAGAAACAGAGATATATAAAAAGGGACACCACGTATTCGAAATCAGGCACGGATCAGAGGGTCCAGAAAATGGACTCGCCTGTCATCGTGGACACAGCATCCGAATTCGGGGACCCGATTGATTTGGACCGTCCGTTCCCCGTAAGTGGCGTAATTGTTTTTTTTGTTGCCATTCCCATTGCAATGTACCTGACGAACGCGTAATAAAAATCGGGCCGAATATTACCGAATCGGGCGTGTACAGGTTAAGTCCGCACCGTTCGAAAATCAACGTTTCGATATTCGATAATCGAACTTAGGTCGAAGTATCGGGAGAGAAGAATAATATAAGAAGCCTGTGTTTAATCGACTCGAGACATTGCGCCAAAGACTGCGGTTCGAATTATGCGATCTTAACCACCAATATAGTTGACTCTGTCGTTTTTGCCAAGACTTTTCCAGATCGTTCGAGATTCAATACACCTCTTCGTTTATTCTAACACCTTCTCTAGGCTATCGATCTATCGAACGTTCTATTTATCCATAAGAAAATTTACATATTTTCACCGTTACGTGACTTTACACCCGTTTACATTGAACTTAACGAACTTTGATCATTATTTTTATCGCTATTCTGTATATTATTCTTTTTTATTCTTTGATCGCCGAATTTCTTTCTAAATATTATTTCTCAGATCGACTTTATTTTTTTATTTTCACGGGTTTTCGAGGCTGGTTAGGCAAAGTGTAAAAAGTGTCTGTATCGATGTTCTCGATTTTGCGTGTAACGTCGACTTCGACCTTCCTTCTTGCGTTCCGCGAGATCGCGTGGAAGTTAGAAATAGAATTCGCGAAGAGTGACGTGCGTTTCGTTGCTTCGAAAACGGCAACTTGTCCGCCCGTGGGTTTCTCGCTTTCTCCGGATGGACTGGATAGAGGAATAAATTTGTTTCTCTCCGACAGCTTGGCGTTGCTAATTTTACACGACACTTTGTTTTTTAATACCGTTCGAGATTAAGTGCGAAGTATTTTTTCTGTTTCTCGCGTCTGGATCAACCGGAAGTGTGATTCTCTAATTGTTCTAGACGATGTTGTAAATTTCTGTGTAACATAAAGCTTCGAGAAATAAACATTTTAAGGAACAAATAGCATATGTAGGGTAAATAAGATTCGATGAAATATGAACTTACAATCGATCAGTTTATTCAAATTACGATTGTGTGATGTCGAAAGAGTTGAGTATTTGCAAGATTTGCAAAACATCGTTGAAACAGAATAAAAAATGGCGCTTATCTCGTTAAGGTTAAAGTAAAACTCGGTATTAAAACGTTAAGTATGCTATATACATCGTTTTGCTTGTCTGTATACTGGTGCTTCAGTTCACTTGCCAGTTGAGAATCGAGGTTAGAAGTGACACTGTTCATGGCAAGCGCTTGTCAGATTCACAGCAACCTTCGTCGCATTCCCATAACATCTTTTACGATATTTGAACGTATACTAACAAATATTTTTACTGCTATTTTTTCACTACTTTTCTAACGCAATTTTTATCATCATTTTAATATTCTTCTACTGTAATAATTCACCATAAATTCACTGTATTTAATATCCTCGCGAAAATTTGCAACAAATAAAGAAAAGAAATGGTGTAAACGTTGAGAGATTGTCGGTGCAGTAGCATTTGTCAATAAACGGACCGTAGCATTCCTAACCCGAGTGTTTCGAACACGTTTTCCTAGAACAAGGTCCATTTCTCCAAAACACAAGCGTGTTGACGCTAATAATAAACTAAACGGAGACGTTTCTTTAACTCTCTCTCTGTCGAGGACGTGGCTCGCGTTCCCCTTGCGTTTAAAGAAATGAGTGAGAGAGAGAGAGAGAGAAGAAACGAAACGAAACGAAAAACGTAACATAATCGCGGTCCATTCGCTGACTACGCGCTTTATTTCCTCTCTTTACGTCCGACCACTCAGCCGTATTAGGCTCGCTGCGAGATCCTGCGACCCTACATGGTTTTTTCGCCTGAAATTGTATTCCAATCACCACGATTCATCCGTTCTTCTAATTTAAGAATCATCTGAACAAGGATAGAGGTCGAACAGTGAATTTTTTCCCAGTTTGGAAAAATTGGTGGCGCTTAAAGGGGACGTGTGGAGTATCAGGAGAAAATAAAGGCGCTGTTTTCATGAAATATCCTATTGTATTCTCCGCGAAGTAATATACGAGCCACTCAGAAGTAAAAATGATTAACTCTACTTTTTGCAATTATTCCAATTTTAGTATGAAACATGTTTGGTGCTTAATTCTTCGCAAATAAAACAAAATTTAATAAATCTAATTTGACGAAGTTAGTCAATTTGGCTTCTGAGTGGTTCATATGTGTCTTGATTTCACTCGAACGACGAATAATATTATTTTCTTCACATTCTGTTGCAAGACTAATTGTATAATTTGTCTTACACACGAAGTTAATTCACTTTCTTAAACATACAGTCCTGTATCATATTATTGTGCATATTTTACAGAAGATATTGATCCCTCTTATGCCTCTAAATTATAGAAATTCAATCAGATCATTCTGGAGATGAACATTGTTTGCTTCATACTGAAATTTAACCATAAAATAATTTCTCATCGTTTCCTCCTTCTTTAGTCATATTCAGAACACTACTGAAACAGTGAAACACCATATACGTGATTTTTGGCATAAGGGAGACTAATAGTGAAGCTTGTTCTGTAATTTCAGAATGGCTTTGTGTACTTTAATGTGATAATGTAATTTCTTCGCTTCAACGTGTTGCTTTTTATCTGTATGTATAATTAATAACTTAATAAATTGAATAAAAAAATTAACAATTAGCAGCGTTAATAATCGTTGTGTGTTTAACAATCTGAATCGACTATATCTATTCGTACTTGAGTCGATTATTTCAAGCAGTTCGCTACATATGTAAATATAGAGTTTCTCATCATCGAATTATACGTGAGGTATAATCGAACCCCAGCTAGAGGGAAATTACTCTCACACGACACCGTAGCGTGCACAGCTTTTTCGAGAAGACGATAACACTGTATTTTTACCCGTGATCTAATCGACTGCCCCTTTTCCCGCAAAAAAAGAAACCGGTTTCGATAAACAGTTAATACTATTGACGATGACGTCCTGACAGATGTCGCGTGGGCGTTATCTATCCGTCTCCGACGGAAGAAAAATTAGACTGGAAGTTGTTCTTTCCCCGGCATAAATTCTATTCGATGTCGCCATATTATCTGAGAGCTTCGATCTTTTTCTGTCGTCTGTCTGTGCACTTGTTGAAGATTGTACAATTAACAAATGAAATTTCGAAATTCTTGTTATAAATTGCATCGGTTTCTAGGGAAAATCGTAGGGACTAATTCTAGGGAAATTTTATTCGACGATCGAACGAAAATCATTTCTTCGGTTCTTTTTTCTCTTCGAATTGTATATTTCGATTAAGTTTGAATGACTTTTTCAAGCGAGAAAATTTCTCGCTGAATTTAACGGCGAGAATTAAGAAAGGTTTTTTATGTTTGGTGGCACGTAACACGCGAGACCCTGTGGCAAAGAAATGAGGAAATAACTATAAGACGGCGCCTGTCGCGAGCCCGATTCAAAGGACCATGACACAGTTCTTCGCTTATACCGAGCCGCGGCGCGGCTGACATTCACCCAGATTGCCGTTTTATGGGTAGCCATAGCCGCGTGAACTTTTCAGCTACCTTTCAGTGTCCTTTGTCCTTATACACACGCGCGCGCGTCTCGTTCGAATGAAACGCTCGTGTTAAAATTAGCATTCCCACAACCCCCCGTGAAAATTTATTGCAATTGTCATGCGAATTTCCTTAATTCTCAGAATACTTCACAGTTTTGCAAACGACAACGAGATGAAGTATTTTCGAGTGTAAATCTGTCGAATTATAAAATAATATGAAAAGTATACGTATAAAAGATATAGCCAAACTTTATTTATACGATTAAAAGGGATGTCTTGAATTCTTTTTTCATCCAAGAATTATTGGTATTTGTCGATTTTTATCCTGATGCATTTTCTCACGCGTGATAGCTATTTCGAGGTAAAGGTGAATTGCACGTGCCTCCCTCGTGGTCTGATCTTTTCACTTATTTTACTTTCACTTGTGCTATATTTTGTAATTACACTGCTGCAATTGTAAAAATAATAAACATCGAACCGATTTTCCTCGGTTAATTACTGAAAAATTGAATAAACGCTTACGGTCGATGAAATTTGTTGTCAATTAAATTCTAACCTAAGTGGTTAACGAGAGCGAAATTAATCTCTCGCATATTTCTGTCTCACAGTCGTTGTAATTGTCCATTTCTATTTTCTCATCGATCAAATTTAACATTCTTCACTGCCTAAAAACGTCGCGATGCATAAAAATCGTCGATCGATCGGACGAGTAAACTCGGAAGCAATCGTACGATTGCGCATGCGCGTAATTGCTCGTATAACACTCTACGCCCACGTGGTGGCGTGCAGTGTGTGACGTCACACGGTGACAAGAGGAGGGACACAACAATGAAGTCACGAAAAGTGTCATACAAGGCAAGGAACGCACGGAATGTCGTTCACGGATGAATATTCAATGCAGAGCAGTTCAACTACAGTTCCTGGAACTCTGCTGTCTCTCCGTAATAATTAACAGAGTTTCATAACTACACGAACAGGAAGCGAGTACATATCCTGTCTGTCTCTGAAGTATTCAAATTCTCCTTAGAACTTTTCGATGAAAAAGATAACAGAATTCTAGGTGATTTTTCAATTTTCGAGGATAATTCATCGATCACGTACTGTATGTATACCGATCGAAAACGGAGAGAAAAAGAAATTCTCAGAAAATGGATATTTAGCAGGTAAACGCTAACCCTTTCGGTCAATCCTAATCGAATTTGCGAGAAAGAAAGAGCACAGATAAGGAGAGATAAAGAAGGAACAAAGAGAATCTACTTCATCGAATCGCTGATTCAGATGGCAATTCTATAAATACAACGATCCCAGATAGCAAGCCAAATATTCCTTTGGCGAATTACTTCGAGGCTTCTTTACACTTCGTTCCGGTTAACTTCTCTCCCTCGTGGAGGAGGAGGAAGAGGTTCCCCTCGGGTATCATCTTCTTTCTAATTTACTCGTCCCATTTTCATCATCTCGTTCCTCGTTTTATCCGCTTGATATTTCATTCGCGTACGAGAACAAGCGGAGAAAATAAAAAAACATAAGTTGCAAACGAAGAATCTCAGCCATGATAGACTTAAGCCGTGGTTCAAACATGGCTAAAAGACGATCTAACGACGAAGGAAGACGTGTTGCACGGTTAGAAAACACGTCCAGGTAGAGACGTTAACGTTTAACGAGCGTGCGAGCATGATTCATAAGAGGAAACGAGCAGCGTGGTGGCAGCTTTAAAAGGCAGCGAGACCGCGGAAAGCATTCTGTACTTATACTTACTTTCCAGCCAGACAGAAGTAGACGAAAGGAAACCTTTCAGATACTTTTCTGTTTCTATACTCCATCACGATTACTCTTTCTCTCCTTTCTGGCTCTGCGTTCTTTCTATCAAAAGTGGCGACACTTTTTTTTCTTACTACACGAAATTTTGATGCACGTTCTCTTGGGGAAATGGAGATTTCAGATTGATATACCAGGTGTACAAATTAATTCGGTGTCTTTTTTTTTCCGGAAAGTTTCGAAGACTTTACAGACTCAAAATCGTCGCACTTTTTCAGAGAGAGAAAGAGAAAAGTCGTTTAAGATAATGGAGATCATTTTGAACGTGAAAATTGTGTTCGATCTTTTTGTAAATCAACATTTAAGTTTGTGAAAAAAGGAACCGAATTAATTTGTACACCTAATACTTTTTCTTTTTATTAGAGATCGATATCAGATGTTTTCACGATAATCCATAGAGTATAGATTGTGGAGATTAGATTCGAAACTATATTTCAATTATCGTGTTCAGCTTGGTATTTGAGAAAAGGTATAGCGTATAGATTATGAAAGGAAGGAGGTTGCTTCACGAATTTCTAAACGATCATTACCATTCGCGAAGGAAGTCACGACTGGCTTGACCGAATTATTTCACGTGGGTGAAGCCGGAGAAATACACGCGTACAGGAAAATGTGTAGACATCTACGCGGCCCTATATATAGTTTTTTAGTGACGTAAAACGCCGTAATACACGCCGTCACGAGTGAAGCACGCCCACGAGAATTCACCGGCTCTATGTGAAATGGTGTGAATTACCGATATATGTAATTTCGTCGTGAATTTTCTTCGGGTTGAATACTTGTCACCGAGATCATATTCCCCGCGAAAATATTTTTAACCCTCTAACTGAATCACTTAAAATCACTCTTCGTTATCTAGGGATTTCCCTTTTTTTTTTTTTTTTTTTTTCCATAGTATCGTGATATCTGTGTTAAATATCAAATATATCGTATTTGTAGCTCTAGAAAACTAACACAAAACAAGACTATTCCCCGTGAAATTATTTTCAATCTAATTGAGGATCGCTCTTCGTTATATAGGGATTTCCCCAATTTTTTTTTTCTGTTTCATGGTATCGCGATACCTGCGTTGATTATAAAATACATCGTATTTGTACCTGTAAGAAATGAATACAAAAGGTAATTGATTAAAATTCTTATCGATTTCTTCTAACTTTGACCGAGGAGTGAACGCAATTAACGAGATAAGTGTGTGTACCGTGTGTACTTCACGCTTGATTCATTTTTGTCTCGATAAGGTTCGCACAGGATGTGTAACGTCGGCAATGAAAAACAGGCTTTATGACTTACAGATTGTAATCGAGACAAGCTTTAGCGTAGAGAAGTAAGCATTGTTCATCCCAGGATGCTTTCTGCGGTAGAAAAATTCCAACAATAGAGCGACAATTCACTTATTTTCTGCTCAATAAAAAAATTAAGAAAAGAAGAAGAAAAATTTCTGTTTAGAGAAAGTTCATTCTACACTTCGAGAAATTGTCCTAGGTTCGACACGTTCACTGTCCTCAAAGAAGAATTCCTCGCTCTTAAACATCACTCTTAACCCTCGCACGGCGGTGTCTATAGTCGACACGCGATGGAAGTCACTTGTTTATGTTAAAACGATTAAAATCCAAACGTGCCTCTAAAAGACAATAGTTATTACGGGTCCGAACTGACCCAAGCACCGCCTCCTGTTTAGTCAACCGAACCATTCTCCTTCCGAGGGTTAATTCAATCATATCAGACAAATTCTTCTCGTAGCAAAATGCACGCGTGTAATCCAACTAACTCGGACAGAGTTTAGGAAACGAACGTGTTACCAAAAAAAGAAAAAGAAATATCCCAGATACAACGAAAATATTACATTACTCCGTTTTTAATACAACAAAGACTTATCAGATATGAATCGATTTTCAGGGATTCCCATTCGACGACGACGGTTTGGGTCGACGCAGTGACATCCGTGCCCATCTGGACGACTTAGCAGCCCGTCATCCAGAGTTCGCCGACCATTTGCTGGGCCCTCCCTGGGGCGACATCCCCTTTCACGGCACATTTCGCAACCGTAATCGCGACTCTGGACGGAACAACAACCAAGGCTACTCCGACGAGGACGCGAGGAGCCAAGCGAGCGGAAGCAGCGGTGCCAGCGCCGCAAGTTCCCATAGCGAGGCTGACAGTAATCAGAATCAACACGAGAACAAATCCTCGAGTTTCGAACAGAGTGGCGGCAAAAGAGGCCAACAGATACCTCAGTACGGATTGCGTAACACGGTGGACATAGGTCAGCACCATCACAACATGGAGAACGCCGACAGAAGTAACCGTGGTCAACGCTCGATGTCTGCCCCACCGGAGAATAGACAAACGTCCAATCAGCATCCTCAGCCACAGCAGGAGCAACAGCAAGAGCAGCCACAACAGCCACAGAGATACGTATCCAGGATAGATATCACTCCGCAGCACAATCAGCCTCAGCAACAGCAGCAACAGAAGCCGCAACAACAACCGCAACAGCCTCAACAGCCACAGAAGCCACAACCGCAGCAACAACAGGGCAACGTCAGGCATATTCCAATCTTCGTCGAGGGTAGAGACGAGCCAGTCCTACCAAGAAGCTTCGACGAGAACCCGCATTTCCGGAGGGAACCCTCCCCTACACAGTTTCACACACCGCCTCATTTCCGGAGGGAAACCTCTCCAACGCAGTTTCACACGCCACCTCATTTCCAGAAATCGTCGCCTTTCGGCCAGCACTTCGGTGGAAGACACCAATGGTCGCCACACTTCCAGGAACAGTTTTATCCACCGCAAAGCACCTTCGAGCAGCCATCTAGAAGGCAACAACAGACTCATAGCTTCCAGCAGCCGAGACAGCAGCAACAGTATACCGAGAGACAGCCTCAGCAGCCTCAGCAACCTCAACAACAGCATTACGAGCAACCAAAGCAACAGAAGCCTCAACAGCAGAGTCAACAGCAACAACAGGAACCACCAAAGCCTAAACCTAACGTTCCGAAGGATCCATTGGAGAGGGTTGCTCTTGTACAGAAGGAGGTCGATTCTCTGGCTGAGCAGGTGAAACAGTACAGTGGAAAATCGAAGACGGATAAGCAGTACATCTATCTAGATGAGATGCTCACTAGAGAATTGATCAAGCTGGATGTTATCGAGACAGAGGGAAGGGATAACGTGAGACAGGCGCGTAAGAATGCTATAAGGAGTATACAGGAAACGATCAGCTTGCTGGAATCAAAGGCTGGAGTCAAAGTGTCAGAGGAGAAAGAGGTGAATCAGGAGGTGTCTGATAAGGTCGAGGAAGGTGGAGAGCCTGAGTCGATGGATGTTGATCAGAAGACCGAGGAGCAGGCACAGAATAGAGAGCCTATTCCTCTGCCTCCTGGTCCATCGTCCCCTACGAAGAAGCCTGAAGAGGCTAACGAAGTTTCTGTGGAGAAAGTAGATGATTCTAGCAATGATCAGACGTTGAACGAGCCACAGGAGACGTCTAGTCAGGTTTCTGGTGAACCTATGGACACGACTCTAGCAGAGAAGCCGGAGGTGACGTTAATGGACGTGCAACAGTGTCCAGAGCAAGCTGCTGTAACTGAGGAGAATAAATTAGATAACGTTCCTCAGGAGCAGAAGCAGGAAAATCCTGTTGAAGAGAAAAAGACAGAGGATGCTTCTGAACAAAAGATAGAGAACGTTTCCTCTGAGGAGGTGAAAACAGAGAATAATCCTGAGGAGAAGAAGACGGAGAATGTTTCTTCGGAAGAAAAGAAAGCTGAGAATACTGCCAAGGTGAAGAAAGAATCGGCTGCTTCTGACGAGAAGAAGAAAACCGCGAACGTTTCCAAGGAAAAGAAGCAAGAGAAGGCTGATGGTAAACAGTCCACTCAGGAGGAACAACAGAAACCAGTGGAGGAAACGATGGAGGTGGACAGTGATGTGAAACAGTCGCCGAAATCCCAGAAAAAAGGGAAGAAGACGAAGAAACAGACTCCGGTGTCCGATAAACCAATACCGTTGCCCGCACCGGAGAACACTGAGACCAGTGCAAAATAGAATTGTAATTGGGCAACGAGGAAAGAGTTTTGTTCACAATTCTAATTGCACCAAAAAATGTACGGTGGACCTTAGCTACTGTGGCTTCGTTTATCGCCAGGACAGAGCCACCATGTACTAATAGAAAGAAGGGCAGAAAAGAGGAGGAAGAGAGTCTTTCGTGATCGTTGTTTTCATTTATTTCTCTCTTTTCTTTTCTGTTCCTGTCGCTGATCGTTGTTTTTTCTGGTGCCCGATCAGACGAGGAACGTCGTGGATCGACGTGAAAAGTCGCACAATCATCGTTCGTCGAATCGCGAGCCGGATACGTTCTTCTGTTGTGTTCCGTTCTCGTCCGATTAATTTCGACACTTGTGTGTTCAACAAGGAAAAGATAAAGAGGTAGTCTCTAGCGTAAAGAGACGCTTCGAGCAACGAATATCGAAGATTTTTTGTTTTTTTTTTTTTTCTTTTTCTTTTACATAATATCGTACGAAAACGCTGCTGCATTGCATTTGAACGAGAAAGAACGTAAAATACTCACGAAATTGTATCGCACGCTTGCAACAACAGCAATGCTCGCCGCCATTTTGGTTGTATTCGACAAGTCAAAGTTTATATACCGATTGGTTTCCCCGCTAAGAATTATTGTTTTTTTCTTTTTTTTTTTTTTCTTTTTAAACAAGTAACGTTATTTATTAGACCGTTCTATTTCTGTCGTTCACTGATTGACTAGGTATGTAACAACCAGTGGACGAGTGAATGATAGCAAGGGAATATTGATGATGATAAAACAATGATGATGATGAGAGATGATCTCGTTTGAGGGGGAGCTTTCTTTTTACGTTCAACTTTTCTTTAGGAACAATCAGTGTTTGGTGTTCTTTGTACCGTTATCAAGACTGACATGTGGTCAGTATTGATAATAAACTTTTAGAGAGGTTGAGAGGAGGTTTAATACGATTGCATGAAGTTTTTTAATGTAACGAATGGGATGGTGTTTCTTTATAAAGAAAAAAAAAACACGTTAAGGGATGTTGGAGACGAACGTTATTGTGCATCTGCCGAACAATTCAAGCACGATTATCGTGCGTTAATGTAATATAAGCTGTTTAAAAGAGGGTGATTCGAGAATCTATCATGTTTTCTATAAGAGTTAAACAGACTTAGAGAAAGTTCGATTGATAATGTTAAGATAAGAAGAAGAAGAAGAAGAAGAAGAAAGAGTTGACAAGGAAAGTTTCTTTTCCTTCCATAATTCTTTGCGTTTAGTAATTTTAATTACTTTTACGTCACTTTTACTTTACAAAAAGTTACTTTTACGACACAAGTGCAAGTAATTCGAAGTCTAAAACTAAAATCTGTGGATTCTTGAGTCACATTTTACTTTTACACACCCTACGTTAAACACATCTGGTGTCACCGACGACATGCGTGTAGTGTACGAACCGTGTACATATTATGATCGTATGTGTTCGTCTTGTAAGAGAAATGATGCATCCTGTTCGAAGTTACCTTAATGTAAAATCGTTCAAGTTGCTGAGAAGCAACACTTGACATAATTCTTCTGGACTGTTGAACGACGTTATAGAATCTTCTTAAATGAAAAGAGGAAGAAAAGAAATGGTAACGAGGCATGGGGTGCATTATTTTATGGTTCCTTGTTCAAGGTGATACTCATCATTATTCTCGTCTTTTGTTCTTATTTTTTTTTTCTCTCTTTTTATTTTCCTTTTCTGTATGATGTTATTTACGTATCCGTAGAGGTCACGTGCTTTCAGCCAGAAATTTTGTATTTTTCTGACGTGTGTGTGTGTGTGTGCATGAGAAGAGAGAATGAACGTGCATGTGTATGTGTGTCTTATACCGAATGATTTTTGACAGTGGAGAGGCAAACTATCGATAGAACGTTGTATAAATGTGGCGAAAATGTAACTATTTTATGAACAAACGCATTCGATTGAAAATACAGAGTCTGCTCTTTGAAACGCTCTTTAAGCAATTCCTATTTTACCATTATCCTGCGTCTGTAGATTTCACAATTAACCATTGAAGTCCATTCACGAGCATTTTTACACGAAATAAGATTTGTGAAATTAACTATGTTTAAGTGCAAAAATGATTTTGTTTAAAGTCCTACGCGAGAACGGGCGAACGTTGTAACACGAAATAGAGCTTGGCATGTATCCAGTGCAATAAAACGGGGCAAAAATGTCGCATCGCGTATAAGATATCACATTCGCGGAAAAATTTGGCGAGTTCAGAGATATTTTTGCCGTTGTATGGGAGTAAAGATAGAATTTCTCAGAGAAAGCTATTTTTTGGTAATCGAAAAGAGGGTTTTGCATTTCGTAAGATTTTACACCGAGAAACTTAGTCAAAATTCATAATACTTTGTAAACAGTAATATATTCGAAATTTTTCATCAGATTTAGTCGTTAGATTTTAGTAATTCAAGTTTATGTACCTACAGAAGGAAACACTTAAGGTATGTATCAAAAATAAAGTCGCTTATTATTATTTATAACATAAAAATTCGGTGAAACGTGACGTTATTAAAAGAGGTAAATATTAATCCGGGATAAAAAATATTTAAGAAAAGATGCTTTCTTCGTGGAATGCAACTGCCGTTGCCATGGAAATTCCGGGTACCAACGACCTGCTAACAACAACATCCGCTACATGACACACGCGTTTTGCTCATTGCCAAATTCTTGCGAATTGTTTGCAGTCGTAAAGCTCGGTATTCTCCTTCAGATATGAACGCCAAGGAAAGTGTAACAGACTGCGGACTAAAAGGAGAAATCGTTGGAAAAACAAGATTCATTTTGGGAATTGTAAAAGTAACCTAACCTAAATGAAGTAAAAGAGAAGATATTCGATGTTTCTTATTTCCTAATTCTTATACTTTTTACAGTTTCGTTTGTTAACTGTTTTTTTGCGATACATATGATGCTTTGAAATATTTATGCGCGAGTAACAGCCATCTCGTGTAGATGACTTTATTATGAGACTCTTTATTGTACTTAGTTGCCAAGCATCGTGCAAATTATGAACGCGTGTTTAGTAGGAGTATCGTTTGAATTCTACACGCGTTTAATATTTGCGTAAATGTGGTCCCATCGGTGACGCAGACAAACTTTCAAGTTCGTTGCCTTGTTAAACCGATGTTCGAGATAGAATGAAACGTATATCGAATAATAATTGTGCTTTCTTTTTCCCTTGATCACACTTTGAATTGAAATAACTCAAAGCAAGAGAATCATTTGTTTCGTAATTAAAATATCTGGTCTGGATATATTAAAAGTATTTCATAAGAATATGGCAATACTCGATTTTTATGCTTTGAATGGTTGTTAATTCATAATCAATAGGGCGAAATACTTGATACTGTTTTAATAAGAAAAGAAATCTCCCTAAGCTTAACCATACAGAATTTTGCAATAAGAAAGTATAAAAATGTTAGATTGCCAAGCAAAATGGAAGTAAGAAAGAACAAATGCTTTTCTTCGTTAGTAACCGATACGTAGTCGAAAACTTGGCACAGAAGATACATACGAGTCATCTAAAAATAGCAGGCCTGCTTAGACTTTGAGAAAAGAAGGTTTTTGCGCCGCGACACCGACCACCTCCAGGAAATTTGACTGAGAATGTCAGCATATGTCTTTACTGACATCTAGTCGGGTTCTACGAGTTCCCTTTGACATTTAAACCGGGATGGTAATATGCCGGGAGAGATTTGAATGAATTTTAACAAGTTCCTTAAGCAAAGTGTAATATAAACACTTCGAAGTAAAGACTAGATAAATACAGAATAGATCTATAACCTACTATATTTTCTAGTGACACTGTTTGAGTCTACTCCCGTTATTTTCGTGTCATTTCCAACGTTATCGATTCAGCAAAGAATAGGATTACAACACTAAAAGTGATTGGAATTAAAACTAAATGTAACTACGAAATTTTGAATAAGGTTACAAGCGAGGTATAGAATAATTCTATTCCTAGCACAACGCTAAATGGAAATTTTAGGATGAAAATAACGGTATGAATAAAATATCGGTATGTCATTTACTAATTTACAGACATCAAATAAACGCCACAGCTGCATCGACACAATCTATTGAGCGTCTGATGTTAGAATGATATTCACGCATGTCGCTTACGCATCGGACGCCATTTCATATAACCAATCGTTGCTATGCGTTCGTGTTAAAAATTGTGGCAAAAATCAACGAGACTCTCAGTACATGTACTAATAACTACATATGGATTGTAAATGAAATAATTCTTTAAATGATACATGAATTTTTATGTATATACTTATGTATATTAATTTGTAGCAATAAATAATAAATGCATACTTAATTCTACAACTGCGTTTAAAATTAATGCTTTTACCATACTTGCAATTCCGTCTGCATTCCGACAATGAGTAAGACAAGGAAAGGAGTAGGAGTAGACAAGGATAGCACTGTAGAAAAGGGTTAGACAAGGAAAGAAATAGGGTTAAACAAGGATAGCAATAGCACCGTGTGTTAGACAAGGAAAGATATATGGATAGACAAGGATAGAAAATTTAACAAAGAGAAAGCAACGCCATCTCGCGTTTGGCTTCGCGAACTAACGATTCGTTAATAGGAACACAGAATATAAACAGAGGTATTAGACAAGGACAGCAATAGTGTGAGACAAGGACAGACATAGAACGCTTCCTATTGGCTGACGGACACCCAAGCTCCACCAATCACGGGCTAAACCAAGTCGGACGGTGAAAAATCATTAATATCTCATTAATTACCATGATTCTGTGAACTTTTAGAATTGAAGAATGAAGTGTGGACCTTCAGCAACTTTCACAAATACTATTTAGTTCTCTAGGCCCTCTCAATAATTAGTTATTAACAATTTTAGTACGGGTTGTCGGGAACGGTACCGCAAACCGTCAAGTACCTTCCCGGTTTTTCAATAATTTCATAGCTTTTTACTAAATTCACATGCAAATAGCTATATTCGTCTGAAAGGCATCTTCTTTAGCTACATTCTTTTATAACATTTGTTAACATATTCAGTCTAGTTTAGAAGTTATTAAGCATTATATGGGAGCGTCCTGAATTCATCGTACTTGAGCGTAGTCAACTCTTATAAACAATTACGAATATCTATGAATCTATTTATGTATTGCGAATGTTTAGTGTTGAAGAATGAAGTGTGGACCTTCAGAAACTTTCACATATAGTTTTTAATGCACTAGACCCCTTCAATAATTAGTTATTAACAATTTTATTACGGGATGTCGGGAACGATACCGTATACCTTTACGGTATTTCAATAATTTTCAAGCATGTAGAATGTAGAATGGACTTTTATCTATTTTCTGCAATTAGTTTGGTAGCTCTAAGTTGTGTGGTCTAAAGGATATTAGCAATTATTTATAACAGTTAACTATATTCACGTTCGATGTATAGGGAACACTCTCATACAATGTTCAATATCTCTTCAACTAAACAAAATATGTTTATAAAAATGACAGGAGAATATAGCTAAAGGAGTCACCTTTCAGATGAATGCAGTTAGTTGCATGTGAATTTAGTAAAAAGCTATGAAATTATTGAAAAACCGGGAAGGTACTTGACGGTTTGCGGTACCGTTCCCGACAACCCGTACTAAAATTGTTAATAACTAATTATTGAGAGGGCCTAGAGAACTAAATAGTATTTGTGAAAGTTGCTGAAGGTCCACACTTCATTCTTCAATTCTAAAAGTTCACAGAATCATGGTAATTAATGAGATATTAATGATTCTTCACCGACTGACTTGGTTTAGCCCGTGATTGGTGGAGCTTGGGTGTCCGTCAGCCAATAGGAAGCGTTCTCTCTCTGTCCTTGTCGCACACTATAGCCGTCCTTGTCTAATACCTCTATGTACATCCTGTAATCCTATTAAAAAATTGTAGTTAGCGTCACCAAACGCGAGATGGCGTTACTTTCACTTTGAAAAATTTTCTGTCCTTGTCTAACTATATATCTTTCCTTGTCTAACTCGTTTCTCTATTGCTATCCTTGTCTACCCCTATCCCTTTCCTAGTCTTACTCATGTATCGTCCAGAGCATCGCCAGAAAAAATGTTTTATCTGGTTAGATGATTTTTCAAATAGAAATTCTTTGAATTTGTCGCTTTTAATAATAGTTATTACAAATTAGAGCATAATTGCATGTAGTAGACACTTTAAGATTAATATTTATAATAAATTTTTAATTTCTATATCGTTACATATGGTGTAGGTAATAAAAATTAGTTTCTACTTTATTATCAAGTACTCTTATTGTAGAATAATTAATATTTCTTGTTAAATAACAATTTCGATGGTAGTTTATAATTATTGGAAATATTAAATAAATTTTTTGCATGATTTAACTTAATGAAACAGCGTAATTTATTAATGTTACATTGCATTAAAACGTTTCTCGTTAAATAACAATTTGAACTTTTGTTTAAACTAAAAATGGCGGGTTTCAGGCCACCACAGGAGTTAAGGAAACGATTTCAATATCAGGAAAAATGAAGAAATACAGTTATTTATGAGAAAATCAACTATTTATTGTAAAATAACTGTACAAAGTGTATTTTACAAGAGACTACGATATACCATTATTATTTTACAGCATTTTACAGTCTATTCGTTTCTACCTTACACACCACGCCCATTTCCTTTAGTGAAACACTCATTCTTTAAATAATATTCCATTACAAAATTACATAAACTAAATCCGGATAAAAATCCCGAAATATAAATATATTATACATTTAGAAGTATAGAATATTATACTTCGTGTACGATAATACGATAGTCTCTCCTATGTCTCATTTGTAATTTCATAATTATGTTTATTTCTAATTCCAACCACTATTAATGTTCTAATCTTAATCTATGTTAAATCGGTAACGTTGAATGCGACATGAAAATGGTAAGGACACTCTCAGCCCTGCTAACGTAAATAAAAAAATGCATTAGGCGTTAGGTCTATCTTATACCTCGCCTGTGATAATAGGTCTACTCTGCACCTCGTCTGTAATTTTAACTTTCAAAATCACAGTTCATAATCATAGAGTGCGCTGCAAAACCACGACTTTTTTTAGGAAGTCGGTATTTCAGTTCGTGTTTCACAAAGTTTCATAAGATGTCTGGTCTATTCTATACCTTGTCCGTGCTCATAATTACACGGTAACGACATACACCCACGACACTCGCTCAACGTTTCACCTGTTAACACGCTTTCTCAAGGTCCTCCGTATTTATAAGTATCTTAGAGACTACGAACATACATTTATTAAAATAACGGACATATTTTTGACCGACGTTACTAATCCAGTCATATTGAACGTTTAATTTACTGTGAAAATTTGGCAGAATAACATGCAGCACGTAAAAGCCGTATCGATAACTTCTACTGTACTGAACCTACAGAAGAAAACCGTAAGCAACAGCTTTTCAATAGTTTCATTTTCCATTTTAATTTTTATTTCGATATTTTCATTCATTGCAGCTGTAATGATCCTTACAATCAGTGTTTACAAAATATATGTTAATTACGACAGAACGAATGTTAAGCTTGTTAGTCGTATGGCTGGAGTAATAAAGACACAAGATAAATCAACATGCGTATCGATGTTTAAGACACAACGTGTCTCGTCCTTCGAAATCGTTACACGAACATTGATGACAACAGACGATCGATGTGTGACTGATCACATTCATTTGAATCTTATGCAACATTCCGTTGTTTTAACGGACGTGCGTCTGTAGCCTCAGGCAACTTCGTCTTGAATGCACCCACACGTCATCGAGGGTTGTTTCACTCAACGTTTTTAAACAATATCTAACCACGAACATTTCTCGACTCGATTCAATCGGTGCTGCTTTATTTACGTTGGACCGTTTCACTTGCTTCGTAACGTGTCGCTCTCTCAACGTCACACAGAAGTGTCTCTATCCACGGACGTGTAAACTTCGATCTCGTTTTCACTACGCATAACACGATTCACACTTTGTAATCTCTCACCGTACCTTTTTTTTTAAGTTTCACGATTCGCGGATTCTGTGATCTTTCTCCGTCGCCTCGTGATCATTATCGACTCATCGTTAGTAGGTTAGATTGACGTCGCGTTAATCGTTCACGGATGCTCTGGTACGCACGGTAATTGCATTTTTTTTTTTCTTTTTACAAGCGAAGCGGAACTTTCACCGATTGTTACGATAAATCATACATGATAATGAAAATTTTAACGTATCCTTGAATCCTACTCTCAACCATCTTATCGTTATTTTCGAGCTGATTGTTGAATTGCACGGAATTTTTGTGTAACTGCGTCTGTTTTTTATTTGCAGGATGCCATTGTGTCATTAATGAAATAGAATAATTTGTAGCTGTGATTAACTTTCGAGACGACTTATTAAGGATTTAGGTAAAATTAAGATATTGCTGGAATGATGGACATTGATCCTCCAAAGTTTGTTTCTAAAGACGATGAAATTCAATATTGGATGGATCTTGCTCATCAGATACATAGAAGGTGAATAATTTTTACTTTTCTAAATGTTGCAAAAGTGATACAATATTATATATTTGAAAGAGAACCAATTTTCGACATTAAACGTATAAAAGAATTCTGGACTAACAAGAAGTGTTTGATTAAAAAATAAATATTCTGATGATGTTACAGGAAAGAGGATATAGAAAGAGAATTAGAGGAGTTTCAAGAAAATTCACAATTATTAGAGAAGGAATTGGAAGCATCATTAGAACAAGCAGAAAAAGCTAACAGAGAATTACGACAACGAAATACAAGACTAGCCACTGAGGTGGAACAATTACGAACAAGATTAGACCAACAAACTACAGATTGTGTAATGTTCCAAGGCAAAGCTCAAGAGTTGCAGACACAACATGATCATTTAGTAAAATATATAAGAGAATTAGAACAAAAAAATGACGATTTGGAAAGAGCTCATAGGTATGTAAAATCCATATTTTCATCCAAAAAATTATCTTCTAAATTAATTAAGAGTACTTACAATGATGCATTTTAATTTACTTTAACTTTGCAGAATAAATGGAGTAACAGAAGAAGAAATAAAAGCTAAACTTAATTCTGCCATAGAAAAGATTGCTTTGTTAGAATTAGAAATTGATGAAATAGAAGCTCTAAAAGTTATAGTACAGAGATTAATGGACGAAAATAGAGGTCGAGTAATTGATTAACAAACTTTTTATAATTGGATACATAAAATTAAATATAAAATTTGGATGATATTAGATTATAAAATCTAATTTTATTGCAGACTTAAAACAGGAAATTCAAGTTCAAGAAAGGCATCAACCAGACAATGATAAATCAGCTGATCGAGTTCGTAACCATGTTGATAGTAATAAACTACAAGTTGAATTGGAAACACACATGCCACCTAATAGTCCAATAGTACCACAATCTATACCTACAAATAATACAGCAACTTCACCATTAAAAAGTAAGATAAATAATACTCTTCGTAAAACTAAGCGCATGTTTTGCTTTGGATCTAAAAAATGATTTTTAATATTATTAATCGGCAAAAAAAAAAAAAAACTTGTACCTAATGAATCAAAACTATTGAAGATAAGAGTCTAACTGATTTCTTAATGTACTATATATTTTTTGTACATTATCTGAATCTATTTTTATGAGAAGTGAATTTGTTTATTAATATTGAAGACTGACTAAAAAAGGTCTAACATTCATGCTTCATTAACACACTTTTATGCACCTCAATTAATTTTATCTTTCTGTACATACATACAATATTGTTATCAGTGAAATAAACATTATTTTATCAAACTTGTTCTTTATTTTAGTTTATACTTTTAGCTGAAATGCATGTTGTTTTTTTTTTATATTTTTATAGTGAAGTATCTTTATGTAATTCAGTATTCTATCACTATTTACCAATTTGGCACTCTACTATTGCATATCTGTAGTAACTTGTATCATTCTCTGTTTGCAATTAGTTGGAAACAGAGTTGTAACTGGGGGTGTAACTGGAAACAACAATAATAATAATGTGAATTCATCATTGACACCATGCACAAGAATATTAGCAATGAATATGATTGGTGACCTTATGAGGAAAGTTGGTGTAAGTATTAAATGTTTTGTTTTTATAAATACAGTGTTGTTTTATATTTCAAAAACATCCTTGATATATGAAGGTAGCTTGAAGCATGGCTTATGTATCTTTGTTTTAAACATTATGTTTAGTTGCCGTAAACATCTATTTTTGGACTGGCAACAGTTTTAATTTGCATAAATTTCGTTTTTTTTTTCTGAGCACCAAATCTATCTTATGCAAAATATTTTTAGCACAGAGTACAGTAATTTAAGTTATACAAGATGCTTTAGTTTTACATTGGTCAGTGATACTGGTAGTGTGATGTAGCTGGTGTTTTGGTAGCTTGACAGGTGGGTCTGCATGGACTGTAGAAGAGTAAAGTGCACTTGTCTGGGTGGGAAAAAAACAATTTCCACTACACCTACTGATTTACCATCCGTCCAGGTTCACACACCCACTCATTGTATACGGTAACAACCTAGATCAACCAAGTGCTGATCAAGTTTTTGTGTACAGGTCTTTATTTGATTTCTTTTGCTTTCTATTGCATATTTTTTTTTTTAGTACACATCATGCTTCCTTGCCTCCTGCCTAGCTTATCCTGTATAATTTGTATCATTACCTCTAAAGATTCACTCCTAATTTTTTTTTAAAACGCAATACAAACATTGACAGATAACAGTAACTCATTTTTAAAGTGGTATTATCTTATTTAACAATATTTATTTGATTGCACAGGCATTGGAGAATAAGTTAAACACATGTCAAAATTCATCACGAGAAGATCAAGCCGTCCGTGATCTCTACAGGTAACGTTATAACAATATTATAATTCTGAAAAATCACATCATTGTCCCTGTATCGTTATGCACTACGCGTATATGTAGTAAAGAAATATCATGTATCGACGAATTATAGAACGTTTTACTTTCAATCACATATAATTATTACTTGAAAAACTTAATAAATTTGTCTTACAAATTTTCTTCAAGGAAGGGATTTATATTGATATTGTTTTAAGTGATACATGATAGTCACATTAAATGTATTGTACTTATTACCAGTTTTATGTTGATTCTTAATTACGTAGTGCTTTCTGTGAACGTTAAACTTATGTATTTATGGATAATCAAGGCTTCTCACGATCCCAGTTCTTTAGCTTTTTAGTTCTTAAAAGTTCAAAATATTTAAGAAGACTGCAATACGTTTTGAATAGCCTGTTTTTATCACTTACGCTATTATTAATTAAAACGGAGCATCTTGTTTATGTCCTTACATGTAAATTGTTCTGTGTATTAGTTATGAGTAATGTCCTGAGACGAAGCGATCAAAATTAATTATATTAATATGTTAATAGGAAGTAAGCTAAATTTCGGAGCTTTTATATCAATCTGTTTGATTTAATCCGATATTCTAATCATTTAATGACTCTTCCTGGTTCCATAGCTGTACTTTGTTATTTATCGTATGTTAATTTAAATGTACGTTTAATATAATAGATTTACACTTAGTTGTTTAGCTTTTCTTTGTGATTCAAAGAGTACAATGTACCGTTTTTATTGTAATCTGCTAAGTTCTTAATAATCTGAATTTTAAAAAATGAAGCTTCAAATAATTTCAGAACATATCCTTCTTCATTTCATTTGTTTTTTAAATGTGTATATTTTTTTTATAACTGAAATTATGAATGACTTCGTTGTTCTATGGTTATTGAGATCTGTAACAAGTCAGATAAACGTTTACTCTGTAGTTCCATTTAGATATTAGGTATAGATTGAAACCTTACTAGGTTAATTACTGTTATTAGTATAATGTATGAAACAAACAGAAGCATTTACTATTATAGACATATACATATATTATAGATATACCAAAAATAATTTAAAAGAAAAAACAAGATTTTCAATTTTA